AGAAATTATCGACATGCCTACTAGATCATATTATCAAGTAAATAAAGTACAGTGATGCGTAATTCAAGTGAAATATTAGCAAACTTACATGAAGGAAAAAAAGATATGCAACGCTTTGGGGTCCAATGTACCGTAAAACAATGAAAAAATTCCATAAAATGCCAGGTTTTAAGCATGCTTTTTTTACCACAGAACTCGACGAAAAGCACCCAAGAGATCTTTTCCCAACAATAGAAAAGCCTAATGACTTAGAGTCAAAGCATAGAGAGAGAGAGAGCCCAACAGACACTAATCATTTGGTTAGGTATTAATTCATTAATTCCAAAACACGGAAAGTTTACTCTGAATTTGATTGGTTAAATTATAAAAAACTCATAGGTGACGTTGAAGGAGTTTAACTCAAGCTGAAGGAGAAAAGGCTGAGTGCATGAACCAAAAAAACAGACATTCACAGGATCGGATTGGCCAAAAAAGACTTCATTTAAAAAATATACTTCGTTAACGAAAAGGGGGCATCATAGCAGATTGGAAAATTTTTAAGCTCCAAGGAAGTCCTATGTTCTCATATCGGGGTGTGCGATAGACTAACCTCCGCGTGGTGCACCCTGGGCAACGTATACTCATACGACAAAAAAGTCTATTTACTGGCAGTTGACTTCTGACTTCAAACTACACTCACCCCATTGTATGTCATATTCGACTACTTCCACAGCACTCACCTCATCTTTTCCACTTTTGTGTCTGTCTCTTTTACATCTTTGAAACTCTCTTCTGATCCCCCTCTCCCTCTCGACTTGTTTCACTTTGATGTTCCTCCTCCCCTCTGTGAAGCCTGAAGTCAACTAAAGGGCTAATGATAACTTTCACAACGCCTGCCATTTGATAGAAATAAATGTTCCCATATCTGATAATTACAATTACGAGAAATTGTCATTTGGCAACCGGAAGGAGGAACAATCGAAGGTAGAAGAGCCTACATTCTTCGAACCCACTCCCAATCGACCAGTAGTAAGATCAGCACAATAGAAGTCAACTCACTCTCCTCATTCGAGGACACACAGAGTATAAGAAAAGATATATCGATAAATTCAAAAAACAACTTACAGAGGCATCTTTGAAGTTGGTGTATTGATAGATGGCTTGGGCGCCCTGTACATGTTGAGTGAATATGGAGGTGATCTCTTTGATCGCCAAGTCGCGATTGAATCGAATATGAGGCAACTTGATGACATGATCCCACAGAAAAGTATCCGATTGCAGATAGAGGTTGCACACCCTTGAAGTCATTCCAGAATTGTGAGGTCTGGCGGATTGGGGCCGCATTTGATTCCCCTGTTGTTGTTGGCCGGGTTGACCCGAACCCAAAATCGAAGTGGCCGAGTCGCCTGTCATAAAGAAGGACTGACCACCGGCGCCCAAATGACCGCCGTGATTGTAGGGGTGGTTGCGTTGACTGCGAATCCCATCAACAGAACGAGGTTTGCGTGCTGGAAAAATAATTAAATGGATGCTAGAAGATATATGCATAGAAAGATGCCTAAAAGAAAATGTTCAATTTCAAAAGGATAAGCTAACATTTTCAAGTGAACCATCAACTAGAACCATTAACCGATGGGCGAAAAATTGATATTGAGCCAATACAATGGATAAGAAATCTTTCTCGAGTGAAAAAGTAACCTAGATTTAGCAAAATTCTCTCCAGGCCAACACACTACTGACTTAATCAACCTATTAGGTGGGCAACTAAGTCATTGCCGATTTCAAATAA